TGTTACTTTGAAAGTCTGAACATGATCTGAACCTATCGATCAGTAACTTAAATATTTCTATTTTATGTATATCTATACATGCCTCCAGGCCCACTACGGAATGGTGGACGGCCCCACATCCTTGGTTCCATGCTTGGAGCATCTGGATTGTATTCTGCAACACGACCACACACACATCAGCATTTCAGTACCATACCAAATCAAAATTTCTTAAGATTGGTTTATAACTGATGCACATATTATGACGAAGTTCATGTCTGTTTCACAATTTGGATGCTTCTGTACATCCCTAGTGATTCATCATTAACCATGTTTAGTTTAAAACTGAAACTGAAACATTGTATGAAACGTACCCATATTTCCACTGTGTGGTCCCCTCATATGAGGATGTGGTACTGGATGTGGCATGTGGTGTGGTGGGGGTTCTAGTGGAATCCCTGGAGTTGGGCCATGTTCCACCAGTCCTTCTGTGACTTCTGCTGCAGCTGGTGGCTGCGAACCACCGGGAGGATTTAACGGAGTAGGAGGTCCAGTGCCTGGTGGTACCAATGGATGGGATGGTGGGTGGTTGGGACCAAATGCCAGCACACGGGATAATGCTACGTCCTCCAAGACAACTGGGTCATTTCCATGGTCATAGGGACACAAATCACCACGCATGCAGTACCCCTTTTCTGAAACATAAACAAATACTAATTTGTATGATTCACAACCATACTTTAGTTAGTATTAATCATGATAATCAGACTGTGTATAAAACCAAGAATATAATAAGCTCAGGAAACAAACATTATAATTCAATCAAAAACTCTCATCCCAAAATGATTAAAACTCACATCCCTATTTTTTTCCTATGGCCACAAAACATAACCTCTTACTTTCTCGATGCCCAGTAAGAAGTATACTGTCAAATGCTATTTATACTGACTTCACCATAAACATAATGGGATTATTTGTAGACAAACTGCTGAGGAGACTATTTAACCCTTCAGCGTGGGAGCATT